ACTTCGTTTCCGATGTGCTGGACGATTTGAAGGTGCTGTATGTACCTCTATACGTCCCATCGTCACGAGCAGCGAAAGTGCGACAGTCTTAGGGATCGCGAACCGGACTACTTGGACCGAGAGGTCGTTCTACGAATTTGTTGAGGACGGTCTGACTGATTTGTCTTCAAGCTGAGAGTGAAAATGCGGCCACGGTGGAGCAGCTGACAGCGCACTAGCCCAGTAGGCGTGAAATGAGGATGCAATGACCGCCCGATGTCAAGTATTTCGCCCACAACTCAACCCTCTTGTGATAAGTTTCGGAGCCGTACTGCGGTACTAAACAGCACTTATCATAATGGAATTGACAACTGTTCGATCTAATAAAGGGTTCAGTTGCATTGAGCATAGGGACCTTTATGTCCAGTTCTTGTGAGATAAATGAAAGCATATAATGTATTTCCAACATGTGATTTTTCTGATGACGGAAATGTAAATATTTCAGGAGCGCAAGACGGGATCGTGTAAATGGTTCAATGTTCTCAAAGGTTTCGGTTTCATCGTTTTGGACGACACCAAAGAAGACGTATTTGTACATCAAGTAAGTGTATTGTTCAGTTGTATTACAAAGTAAACAAATGTTCCCATTTGCGCCCGTTTTTTCAGTCGGAGTTGAAGATGGAAGGCTTCAGAAGTCTGGAAGAGGGAGAACGTGTTGGCTTTTACGTGCGAACGCGAAATAGCGGTCAACGTGCGGGAGCGCTCGAGGCGTGGGAGGTAGCCTTAGTTCGAGTTGTTATTTACTTGGGTAAGGGAATTAACACAACTCTTCATAAATATCGATATTGTAGGTCGGACCGGAAGATGAAAGCAAGACGCTGATTGGAAGCAGTATTCGTCCGCTTGGTGCTAAAAAAGACCGTCTTATAAGGTACATTTTGGAGTGAGGCTCCTGGCACTGAACATTTTTTCACAGCCTCCATGTGCGAAAGCAGGGTTTCCTGGTAGGAAGATTAAGAAGTGAAAGAGGATGGGTAGGGTTGAGGTAATTTCCATCGTCTTTACCCTGCAGCTAGTGTATACCTACTGGAACTGCCCATGAAATGTTGACGGAGAAGAAAAAGCAGTTTTTTTGTGGCGGAGGCCGTTCTCAGAAGTGGTTAACATGCTGGATAATGTCTCGCCGATTAATGTGTGCATCCATTATGTAACGGCACTGCCCTCAACAAAATCTTGCCTTATTTCGTATTTTCGAACAATAGCAAGCTTTTCGATCATTCAAATATAGCTACTGACAAAAACAAGCTTTGCAATTGTTTAAAATGGTTACTATATGGTGGCGTGAAGGGGGCGGTAATGGTAGAAGAAAACAATACGACACGCGACTGTTGGATCTACTTTACGCGAAAGAAAGAGCGATTTCTCTGGGATTTGTATTTTTATTTGTTTTATGCTATGATTTTGTAGGAAAGCTGAACAGAGGATGACAACTACTGTTTAGATGCTATAAGTGCGGGCGGTTTGGAAACCATATGGCTCAGCGATGTAGGAAGGTGGATGCTGATGAAAAGGTAATGTCTGTGATTTTCGTTCTGTTTTTTGATAACTCCTACTTTTACTGCAGTTAGCGGCACGTCCCGCGTACAGAAGTAGCGATATGAGCGGCGAAAATACTAATGACAAGATGGTGAAGAACAAGAAGTGAAGAAAAGAATGAGTCCCGCCCAAAATGAAAACCCAGCGCCATATAGAATTCCATGCTGAAAAGCGCTTGTAAGTGCACAAGGCGAAGAACGAGCGTGGTCGGACGAGTTTCCACTCATTGGTCTCTTTCCCCCTTGTCATCTCACTCTCCAATTTGAGAGGTACTAGCGGGAGCTTCCCCTCTCTTTCTTTTTTGAGCTGCGGAAAGCAGTAGACCCTCCACGCTTGCGAACAGGGCTACCTTGTCCAAAGAACTCGTCTGAAAACAGCATTAGAAAATGAATGTGGGGCATGCCTTTGAGGAGGGATCGAGCCATGTATTTTGCAGTATGTTTGCGCTTCTTGCCCCTTCATTGACACTGTAGAAACCACTACTTCCATCTATCACTTCATGCAGTTCTCGCTCAAATTCATTCCTGAGAGCGCGTTCAGACTTCGCGATCGTGCGATCTGATCGCTGGACTAGGATCGCGCGATTCCGATCGCGCTATTGTTATGGGTGAAAAATAACGATATAGCATTCATTTAGTAAAACAGCTATACTAAAACACTCTGAAACTCTGAAAAGACTATTTCAAGCAAGAAACTCTTTGGACGACGACTTCGGCGATATCCGTGACACTTCACGAAAGGACAAACCTAAAACAAACAAAAAACAAACAACGTCAACATAAACATGAACATGAACAAACGTGAACCCTCCTTGCCCGCTGTGAATTTCACCCATCCCAATAGCGCGATCCGATTCGCGAAGTTGAAACGCGCTCTGACTGCGTCAGCGGGTGAATTTCGATTCTCCTTGAATAGGATGTTAAATAGAACTAGCCGTGATTTTGAACATCCTAAGAAAGGAATTCGGTTAAAGTTTGCGAATTTTTAGGTGTGCTATGGTTGTGGAGCAACAGATCATCTATTCACAGCTTGCCCAAAAGTGACTCATCGAGCAAAACCAGGTGTGTTTTTTGTATTCTGGTCGATGAAAAGCGTGAAGTTCTCAGCTTTTTTTTCACTGTCTGTATTATCGCGGGAAAATGTGAATGGAAATGTCATGTATATACATTTAAGAACTTTAAACTAAAGAAATCGATCTTTGACAGGAAATGGAGCGTCACCTGTAATGACGTTGACAAACAAATCAGACCCCATGAAATCCAAAAGCGCTCTGGAGACGCGTTCATACCTTGCAAAACTTTAGGATCGGCGAGTCGCAGAATTTGGAGAAAAAAAGAGTACGGAAAAAATTAGATACTCACCGATCTCTAGAATCGGAGCATCGACAATTCGCACATCGGGAGAATCTAGCGATCCGACAGTCAACGAGTAACGGAAAAGGAAGATTTCGTGAATCGGAAAATTGTAGGGGAAGTGGGAGAAATGGAGAATGCGCAGTAAGATATCTGAGAAACTGAAGAATCCACTATTCTCCCGATTGGTTTATAAACATTCCTTTTTCCGGTTTTTACGGATTCTCCCTATTCCACCCGGTTTCTTCAGTTTTGCAATGTATGAACGCGACGCAGATTTCAGTCTGAAGGGAAACAGCCTGAGGTACTTGAAACTTTGGCACGAAATGATGTGTCAGCTCCCATTCAGAGTAACGCGCTCCGGCTTGGCGCTCCGCAAAATCGGGGGCCATGGGTTCACCTAATTAGGCAGAAGTGGTGGGACATCTGCACTTGTTTTAACAACTGCTATATTTCAATGCAGTTAGCACATACGAGTTGGGCTAAGGAGCAACAAGTTTGTTGAGTCATCACAAAACGCTTTTGCCCAGCCGAGGTCGAATCCGGGTCTTGCGCTCCTCGAGAAAGTGTGCTGCACCGGGCGACGGGAAATTGACGCATTGTTTTACTCGAAATAACCAAGCTGAGAACATCCACTTCACAAGAGAGAAGCCACAAGACGATTGGCTTCCTTTTCTCAACGTGCACGTCCAGTTGATACGGGGGTTCTATCGGACCAAATGGTACCGAAAGCCCAGCAACAAAAACATCCTGCCATTTCCAGTCGCGCAAAATCTCCTAAACAAAACATCATCAGAGAAAAGCGACGTCCTTGAGCTCGCTCCAGGACATATGCCCTCCCACGTACCACCCCCCCCCCCGAGGGTTGAATCTTGTCTGGACGACCATAAGGAGCAAGAGGGATCGAAGTCGAGCAGCTGGAATGGTCCCATATTGTGCCCTTCCAGCGCAGCGACGCGATCAGTGCACCGTAAGAACGACCCTGCCGTGGGTTGTCTCGACGCTAGTCGTGAATTGAAATCTCCCCCCCCTAGCGAGCCTTAGAAACAGCTGATTCGCACCGCTACGATCAATACTGTATTACTCCGGATTGTGTCATTTGTCCTCGCGGGCGATTGGGTGATCGCATGAGATCAGGCGTGATTACCTGGTATCATGTGCGCTATGTGGGGATGAGTACAACGGGGAAACCGGACGTCCGCTTTGTTCCAGGATCAGAGGAACACTTGGATGGCTTGAAGAAGTCAAGACCGGAACCCCAGTGGCTCGCCATTACAAACGAGCTCGCCCTTCGTTGACCTGTGTGGGCTTCAATCGCCATCGGCTTCAGGTCGAGGGGCTGGGTCATCTGACCACACATTAGTCAGTTTAGCGGTGGTCCTCTACAAAGCCTACCGTATGTTCCAAGGTGAGTACCGGATTTCATTTTTACGATTCACGATTTTACCAGTTCCAAGGTGTGTTTCGGATTTGCGATACCTTCCTAGATGCGCTGATCTACGAACTATTTCTAAGTTTGAAATGATTTATGAGGATTGAATCACTGATCTTCAACTTCCAGGCTCTGACGAAGGCGACTAGCCGAAACGTAAGCCCAATAAAGTGATTTAACACCTTGGCTGTGGCTTCAAGAAATCATTGAAGACAAGGACACACACCATGCCAAGGGCCATGAACAGTCGATATGGAGTACCTTCGCTTCATATTGTACTTCATAATGGAAGCAATACGAGCATCAGGTACGGTCGTCCATTTGTGGGCGGGCGGCGCGGTGGGCGTCCGGGTCGGTATGTTGCAGCTTGATAGGGCGCTATAAGGTACCTTCCTTGGAAAATGCGCCGCGCAGCACTTGCTCAGGAGAGCCGAATTCTGTCCTGTTAGACGTAGTAATCCTATTTGTCTTGTGGACTTATCACTTGCCTTCAAGTAAATTAAGTCCTGGTTCGAGCGCGGAGCCATTTTCAAGAGGTTCTCCCCTGCTTTCGTCACAACGTGGGACGCCCCGTAATCCAAAAAAGTGTATAATTGGCGTAGCCGTGTCATCCTGAGGTTCGATGCTCGTTACGCCAATCGATGTAGATAACAATGTAAGATTTCGGGGACAACTTCGCTCTCTATGAGAAATTGTCATCGAAAGCGACACGAAGCCTATTAGTAAAAATTAAATTTTTCGCGTGCTTGTCAATACGGCCTGGCGAAGGGAACGTGAGCTGAAAACGAGTAGTAATAGGTGCCTACCACGACCTAGAAGGAAGGTGACAAGCCAAAGGAAATCAAGTGAAAAACATAACGTTGTGAGTGCACTGAGGGTTCCGCTGAACTTTGATATTCATCGGATCAAAATCGGAAATGTCTCACGCCTTTACTCTGCCACTCGGAATCATCCTTTAAATCCAAAAAGATTCCCTCTTAGTATGAGAATGGGAATCTTTAGGTTGAATCCCTTCATAGCGCATGACACCATCAGCGGCACAACTCCCACGGATTGGAACTATTAGGTTGTCCGGAAAGTTCTCAGCGTTTTGTGCACCTATTTTTTGTACATTCACTGCTGATTAAAAACTCATTCTGCCTTGCTTCTCAGTAGCACATCCTGTAGAGAATTTCTTGCGCTATCTGATGGTAGGAATTTTAGGGGGATTTTGGAGGCTGACCCATCCCAAACAGTTCGAGAGATAGCAGAAGAGCTAGGCTTGGCAAATCCACTGTTGCAGATGGTCTGGAACGCATTGGGAAGGTGAAAAAACTCGACAATTGGGTGCCCCACAATCGGAGTGACCGGCAGAAATTGGCACGTCTCGCGGTTCCTCTTCACTGCTTTTGCGCAACAGAAACGACCTGTTTTTGGACCGAATTGTCACCTGTGATGAAAAATGGGTCATGTATGATAACAGGAGACGTTCCGGACAGTGGTTGGATTTCGACGAACCACCGAGGTAATTTTCAAAGCCGAACCCTCACGAAAAAAAGATTCTGGTCACGTTTGGTGGTCATCGGCTGGTGTGATCCACTATAACTTTTTATCACCAGGCCAAACCATCACAGCAGAGTCCTACTGTGAAGAAATCGACGAAATGTACCGAATTGCGTCAGCTGCAGCCAGCACTTGTCAACAGAAAGGGTCCGATTCTTTGCATGACAACGCCCGCCCACACGTTTCACAAATCACTATCCATAAATTGAACGAATTGGGGGTTGAAGTTCCTCAACCGCCATATTCTTCAGACCTTTCGCCAACCGACTATCACCTTTTCTAAACATTTTCAGAACTCCCTTGCTGGAAAATACTTCATCAATCAGGACCAGGCAAAAAAGCCTTAGTGGATTTCGTGAATTTTCGACCACCCAGTTTTTTACTTTGATGGGATTTCTCGACTGCTGTCACATTGGCAAAAGTGTGCTGATTCGAATATGTGCCTATTTCGATTAAATCCGATGAGTATCAAAAAGTAACGATCGTTTAAT